ATGAGAAGCAATGCTTTCGCAGTATTTGTATCGGGTTGAACGTTTTTAGGTATTTGTACAATGTTCGACAAGGCCTGCCCGCTAGACGTATCAATTTTACTTTGCAGAAAGAGGGGAAAAAAACCCGAAAGTAATCACGATAGCGAAAAACTGATTGGTTTCTGATTGGCCGCTTTAAAATGATAAAAACATATAAGACACCTTGAGTTGTAATAAAGCATGAATTGAACAAATCATAGGCCTACTTGACTTCCCCTACCCCCACCATCCCCGGCCGCACCACACTTACAAGGTATGGAACGGGCTTGCAAGCCAAAAATGGCTAGCTACGCTCCCTAAATTTAGACAGTCTCGACGATTTGGTCGATAACCCGGCCGTGAGACGTTTGATTCAGACGCCTTTCGCACATTTAAATCAGTTTTACATGAAAAATGTTGCGTTTATAAGCCAGTTTGTATACTAGGCGTCTTAGCGTCGCGACGAGAATTTCTGACGTCTTCGTCCAAAATGTATAAAAGGAGAACTCTCCCTTTCTCTACATCCAGTTTTCCTCACTTGAGATTGTTCGTGCCATCACAACATTTAACGATGAATTTTTCTGCAATGGCAATGTTGACCTTCACTTTTCTTGTAGTATGCGCTGTTTTGAGTTCCGCAAATTTGGCTGATAGTGGGAATGACACAACCCTGTTAAACTATGTCAAAGAACTTACAGAGGATCTAGGTATTTTACCAGCACACCAAAATGTTCGGTTTACGTTTGACAAAGGTGAGATCAATTTCCACACATTCATTATTTTATAAGGGACTGCTCATCAGAGAAGGAAATTACTCTTGTGGATTTCAAAACTAAGAATTAAGCTCAAAAGGTGCATGTTAATAGCAAAGTTGATTTCAGAACTATAAAAGAAGTCCGAATTCACCTTGTTAAAAATGATCTCAGCCCTGTTTTAATAGGGCTTTGTAGGTTTTTCGTGTTTTGTTCAACTGCCTTCCATAAGTAAAAAGAAAAAAATTGTTTCTTCGTTGTCATTTATATTTCAGATTTTTTTCGTCGAAACACTAACGCTAGCGACAAGACAAAGCTCACAGCAGTCTTTGATACCTTTGCGATCGACGTGGCCAGCACTTTCAAAGTCCAGTTGGCGTTCGTGAAATTTCACAATCATAAGGTCATTTACGATCTTAACATGGAAGAGGAAAGCGGGCTTAGCCAGGCGTGGAACACACGGGGCGTCCCTGAAAACACTACACGTACCACGGACTTGTACGATATTACTTGGATTTTGGAGCAGTGGAAAGAACCAGAAGATCATGCAAAGTTGAAAGTTGACTTTAACATCACACAGTCTGCGTGGAAACAACCTAGAGAATTGGTTCTAAAAACTTGGAGCAAAGCTATCAAAGGTCAAGCGTGGAAACAATACGGACCTGTTTTCCTTCTTGCGTACTTCAAGGGCGTTTCCACGAAGATAACGAGCCCACTTCACAGTGCTGTGAACGCGCACCATTACAAACTTCGCAGTGGCGGTAGAAAACCAACTTGTAAACTTTACAGTTTCAGAGCGACCTTTGCTGAGTTAGGACTGTCCAATGTATTTGTGATGCCAACAAAAACCATTGACTTCTTTTCATGCTATGGTCAGTGTGACGTAACCGGCAGCGTGAACTCGCACCCAAGTTTTGTGTCAACACATGCTTGGATATTGGAAATTGCGAGAAGCAGGCTCTCTAATCCATCAATTCAGAAAATGTACTTAAAATCAAAGTGCGTGCCAACTGCATTACAAGGAATGGACGTCTGGAGAAAGGAAGACGATGGAAGTTTTACACTCCAACATATTCCAGACTTAACAGCAGCAGCCTGTGGCTGCCGCTAATATTAAAGCAGAACTTTTTACAAAGGTTTTGTTGTATTTCAATGACATTTCCAAATGAACTATGACTAGGAAACAGTCTACAGTTTGCCTGGTTTGCAAACTGCATATATTTTAAGCTAATTAGTTACATCATTATTACATAAATAATTTTTCTACCTTTTTTTTCCTCGTTCAATTAAACAAAGAAATTAAAATTTGTTAGGCACATTTAGGAAATTTAAGCAGTCAACAGTTTGCCTGGTTTGCAGACCACACACGTTTAATCTACAGTTAGAGTTTTTTTGCCTGGAAAAAGTTTTCGAAGCTGTATGTAATTAGTGTTTATCCAATGAAAAGTTTACAGCCAAAAAAAAAACAAACAATGTTAAACAAGTTTGTCTCAAGTGGCAATGTTTGAGACAAACTGAACTTGAACACGACACAATCACTGTACAAATGGAGTTCTATAAAGTTTAGAAATTTGTTGGGGGAGTTTTAATACTTCAATAAAGTTATGTTAAATTGCATCTTCTTGTCAAATAATCATTTGGCAAATTTCCTTGTTTATATTGATAATAATAATTATTGTATGGCCCAACAATAAATAAATTATAAGTAAATGGCCCAACAAGCACAGACCCACGCCCTGAAAAGATAGTCTCTTTTCCTACCATATTATTTTGTCCTTTCCAACTAAATATTCCAATACAGTAAAATGAAAGAGTTGATGATCATTTTGTGTCAGACAAATAAACAATAAAACTATTTCCTATGTGCATCCACCATCTGAAAATTAAAGGTTGAAGCAGTAGTTTGATGAAGAGATAGCTTACTTCAACATTTTTTTTCCAATCTGTGTTACAAACAGTTCACTACAATATTTGAAGAGGGTCCATATCAAAAGAAGAAACAAAGATATTAATCTTTTCATCTAACAAGACATTCAACTTGCTTTTAAATTCTGTCAGGAATCCACGTTCTGTGTTGCTGTGTTCACATAAGATCACATGCACTCCCTGTGACACTCCATCAAGTACCTCATGATGGGACATCTCCCCTGTCAGATACACATCTGCTTTAATCCCATGTAGCACACTAGCTCCAGACCCAGCACACAACGCAACAGTTTGAATGTGACTTTGAAGGGGACTTCCTTGTTGAGGCATGTCAGTATGTGCCAAAGCAAGACGAACATGTTTGAGGTTAAGATGGTTTTTGATGCGGTTTATCAACTCAGACAAAGTAACTGGTGAGTGTAAAGTACAAAGCCGTCCTTGACCAGTACCCAAGATTGGAATCTGAAAATGTGTTAAAGTTTTTAATGGAAGATGTATAACTAAAAAGCCCATGTTTAACAAGTGTAAAATGGAACAAATTCTGCTAGGTTTTGCTTCATAGCAACAAACTAACAAAGATCTGGGGGGGGGGGGGACTCCCCCCTAAAAAAATGACAGAACATCTCATTGGAGACTATAAAAAGAAACTCCACAGGATACCAGAATCTTGTTGTAGCAGTTTAATATTTAAGATTTAGTACCCAAGTAATACCAAATCTAACCCCCTAAAAGTTATGACTAGTTGTACCTATCGATAAGTGCCAACGAGTGAATTGAGTTAGTAAACAAGAGTCGATTGGATTTTGTAATATCTATTTGGGATACTTCTAGTATAACAGGTGTTAAAATCAATTTTTTTTAGTTTATGTTTAAATACCATATCTAACCCCCTAAAAGTTATGATGAGTTACAATTACATTGGGGAGTCCCTCCCCAAAGAATAGGAATTTGTAGTGCAGTCCCCCAAGAAGACATATGAGATAATATCCAGAAAAATGAAAAAAGGCAACATGTAATAGATGAATAGGTTACCTGTCCAAGAGGAAACATTTCTGTGTTGCTAGCAGCTTCAGGAAACTGAGATGTCAGCATCTGAAGGGTGTTGACAAGTCCATTCTCAGAGCAAAGAATTGATATCTTTTCTTCAGCTAAGTCAGGTGGTCTGCAAAATAATCACAATTAAGCCTTGAGTGTAAAAATAACATAAGGTACTATAGTGATATTCACTCCATGCGACATCCCTACAGGGTGTTATGAGAATTACATTTACGATGATGGCAAGTCCAAGATGAAACTATGAGTGAAACCATCTGCTAAAAATACTTTGATTTTTTACAACTATCATCAATGTGGGGAGTGTTTTTGTTAAATTCCCCATGTTGTTGGCATTTTACATCGTCAAATACCTCACAAATCAGGACTTCATAGCCTGAGGGTGTCTAACTCCCTGGTCTCTACACTTTTAATAAGGATAATAATCTTCAACATTTTTCACTTTGGCACAGTGTAAGTGTCTTACTGAGTATTTCAAGCATTTTGCCCTCACAAATTTGAATCCAATTCTCACCACAATCTCTTGCAGGGGATTCCTTCTAACCTTGTTATAGTTTCCCACTCAATTCTCTCAACTCCTCCAAGTCCTCTGAGGCTGTCTTGAAGCCTTATTGCTCCATCTGGCTCTTGATTGGTCAACACTCTTGTTACTAGTTTATATTGGCTGGCCCCAGGACTCGACGCTTTTGAGTATTGAAGTGGCTCCACCCTCGCATTTCCCAAACCTGAAGCAAGCCAGTCGTTAACACCGTTTTTCACGGCATCAAAAGCCGTATGTGGAGAGTACACAGCAATTCTGTTTTCGATCATTTTAACAATAATTCTCTCCTTGAACTTGCTAGAAGTGAGGCGCTTTAACGGAGCAAAGATGGGTGGATGATAAGAGATAACCATGTTCACTTCTTTGTCGACTGCTTCTTGCGCCACTTTCTCGGTTAAATCATTCGTGAGAAGAATTGATGTTACAGAATGAGGCTGCGAAGGCTCCACGAGTAATCCCACGTTGTCCCAGTTTTCTGCCAGATGTAAAGGCGCGAACCTGTTTAGCCTCGTGACAACCTCTTTGAGATCCATCATACTATGATAACAAGCTGCTGACGAGTAAATATTCTTAAACAATCTTTTTAGGGTTGCGGACGACCTATAGACGTAAAAATACATGTGTTTGATCGCACAAATCTTTCCAACAAAGAGTCATCCATAGACGATCTCTCGTGGACGGCTCTCTGGACTGAAATCCGCCATATTGAATAATGAAGAGAACTGGGTAGAGCTGATTTTAAAACTGTCAGCGGCAGATACCCATTGCAACACATATCAGTTATCATATATGGAGTACCTTTTCAACGTGGCAAAATGGTGGATGAATTTGTAGTTGCTTCGGAGAAATACGGATCGGGAACTTTAGAGAGAAAATATAGGTTCTCCGCAGAAAATGGAAATTTAGAAAGAATTGGACGGAGAAGAGAAATCACTTCATCCTTTAAACAGTTTTTCAAGGTAACTATGTGATCTTACTGACATTTTTTACTAAGCTAGAGAGGAAAGCCGGAAAGGGCATTAACCCGGGGGAGGGAGACGGGAGGGTGGGGGTGGGGGGAGTCAGGGGTTCCCATATAAAAAGGATGTGGGTGCTCGTCGTACCATTTAGAGGTCAAAAACTGATTTTGGTACCTCTTACCTTTAAAAGTTCTACAGCAGGAGTTTTTGCAGTACCTACCGTACCTTTTAGGGTATTGAGCCCAAAAAACATATGACAGGAGATAATGTGTTATTTTAGAATATTTGGTACCTCTTAGGGGTGAAAACAATTTCCATTCATGTTCGCAAAACTGGATCTTGGTATCTGTTCCACCTCCAAAGGGGTTCTTTTCCTAATTTCCGACGTGCATCCCTGTTCTTTCTATATGGGAGTCCCTCCTGGGTAGGGGGCATAAATTGATTTAAGTCCAAGTCCCTGTTCTGCTGTGGAAGAGGGTTAAATTGTTGTAAGAAAAAATAGCTTGTTAAGTCAGTCTGTTATAATTTATTTATACCCAGTCATCTTGTCCATTAATTATCAAAGAAGGGTATTCTTAACCAAATCAATTAGGTAGAAAAATAAATCTAAAGGTAAAGTCTGTATATGAGTCAAGTAGCTTATCAGACTGGTGCTTATTTTAGTTTCAGTAAGTATAAAGTGACTAGGAGTATAGTATTTCTACTTGTCCCTGGATGGGATGCTAATCTATCGCAGGCTAGGGTTACCTCCCAGCATTAACTTCCACAGTACCCATTTATACACCTGGGTAGAGAGAGGCACTGTTAGAGTTAAGTATCTTGTCCAAGAACACAACGCAATGTCCTGGGCTCGAACCTGGACTGCTCGGTCTGTTGGGAAGAGCAGTAACCATGAGGCCACCCCGAGGGTCACCGCACCTTCACTTTATTTAGCTTAAGCATGTATCTTTTGCAGTCTGCCTTCCTTCCACAAGGCTACCCAGAAAGTGTCAGCAAAGACTACTTGCAATACCAAGTATGGGATACCATGCAGGTATGTAATGATTTACTCACCCCACCATCCAACTCTTCTGTGGATTTATATTTAAATGACAATAAATGGACATTGACTTGAACCTGTTCTCAATATAAAAAAGGCTATGTAAAATAATAGTCAGAGATATTTCTTAGCTGGATTTCTATAAAATAGAGTGGATGAGCCCCTTTGTTATTTCTGACTTTTTTATAACTTTTATTGAAGCAAAAATGGTCTCTTTAAACTTTCCTTGTATTTGTCTTTTTTAAAGTTTTAGTTGTACACAACCCCACAAGCTGCCTTAGGCTTAAAATGTTACTGTGTATAAATTAAGTTGATTGATTGATTGTTTGATTTATTATAAGATAGACAGAGAAGGCTTTGAGAATCTGCCAGCAGTAGGTTAGAGCTCCTCACTCAAAATGTCTGTCTATTAATGTTATTATTTTAATAATGCAATGGCCATGGGTCATTTGATAAACATCATTTATTTACAATAGGTATATGGTGTAGTAAAATGTCAAAATAGGACTTAGCATTAAAAACTACTTGGAAGTTCTCATGATCTTTTTCTGGCGCAGTTTAACAATCACCCCACCCCATGTCATTTCAGACATTATTACACTACAATTGGAGTCTTTTGATAATTGTACATTTTTTTACAACTTATTATTATTTTGTGGTACTCTTGTTATTTGAGCTTTGATGAGCATTAATGATGATTGGTTATTGAAGATTTATTGTTATCTTACTTGGGTTACTTTAGAGGACTTCATAATTTAAGTCTTCTTTCTTCAGGTTAGTTAATCTATGATAATAAAATGTACCGGTAACTTGTTTTATTGATGATAATGTCATATTTATTGTTGTTGAGTTGTTGGGCTTTTCTTTTAGGCATTCTGTTCCTCTATTACTGGTACTCTTGCAACCCAAGCCATGCTAAAAGGTTATGGAGTTGGAGATGAAAAGGCTACAGCTCTTGCAGCAACTATGACATGGATTTTAAGAAGTAAGCTGATCAGTATTATTTTAATTATTATACAGGCTGGAAATTATGCCACAAAATAACACAGGAATTTTCTTCTGAGCAGTAGCCCAAAAAGGGAAACAGAGGAATACATGTACTTGAGGCATTGAGAAACTCTTTAATTTGAATTTGGGCATTCTTGTCACCTGAGGATTAGAGTGCTGTTGCTCTACCAACTGAGCTAGAGCCCAGACAGAAGTATGTCACGAGTTATGTACTATGGTGATAATTTGTGGTAAATATTCAGTGAGCGGATGGTCTCCATCAGGATTCACAGGCTAGTGGCAACTGAAGTTAGATGTCAAAGCTACAATAATCACAATCCAATCTTAAGCCATACAGCAGTAGTAAATTACACAAGCTGGAAATTATAGAATTAACCGTACAAACAGAAATTTGAAGAGCCCCAAAATAACCCAGTTCAGAAATTGCTTGGTTACTAACTGTTTAATATTTATTCACGATTCGTGGGAGTTGCAGTGGGCCAAGGATCAATTGGTCCAGGTTTTTAGGTGCTGGCCAGAGTCATAATTTGTGCTTTGTTTTAGAGCCAGACAAGTTATGTGCTTTTACTCAACTGGCTTCTTTGGTATTTAGGTGGCACTGGTATGGTTGGAAGTATTCTTTTTGCCTGGATACAAGGGTATGATAACTTTTGCTTACACTTGACCATTAACCTGAATGTTTTGTGTATAGTAATGTATTGTGATAAATGATTTATAAGTTTGCAAAGACATGACAATCTTTTGTCTTTCTAGGAGTAATTTGGATTGTGATGCAAAGAAATGGAGGTGAATTCTCTTTAGTTAGAGTAAGGTCAAGACCAACCCATTCTGTAGACCATATAATATTTATATTAATATAATGATTACTTACTATCCGCGATCTTGAACTGCTGCCAAATCAAAATAAATTATTTGCTCTTGAGAGTTCAGGATAATGATGTTCAATCGCAAGATTTATTTTGATGCAAGTACAACACAAATCACAAGCATGATTTCTGGAACATTTTTAAAATTTACAGTTACCACAATATCATAATTAATCATACATTTTTCCTGTTCTCAGGTTGTTTGCTGATATTCTGAATGATGCATCAATATTGGTTGAGATGTTGGCTCCATTGTTCAAAACGTACTTTACTATTCTGGCTTGTGTGTCCAGTATAACAAAGGTAGAGAATGGATGATTTTTGAAAAGTTTGCAATGACTTACAATAACTATTTGTTAGTCATGTTGAAAATTCTTCTCTTGGTTTCTTGTTGTTTTGTTGATTGTTATTTTTTGCTGGATGTAGTCCATAGTGGGTGTGGCAGGAGGTGCCACTAGAGCTGCCATGACACAGCACCAGGCCAGAAGGGACAATATGGCTGATGTAGCAGCTAAAGATGGAAGCCAGGTGAGATGAAGAATTGTTAGGTGTTTATATTACAACAAAGGCAATTAACAACCAATTTGCAAGTGTTGCAGTCATACCCATGTTGTGTCAGAGTTGATTGTCAGTACTCTTTGTTTTCACTCTGACTATTGTATTAGAAAAATAGGGAGGCGCAGTGGTATAATGGTTGGTGTATTGGACTGTTGATTGGCAAATTTAATGCTGGTTGGGGGAGGGGGGGGAGGGATACACAGCATTGAATTAGCATCCCATCCAGTCACTGCAAGTTATGGAATCAGAGATGAGCATGAGCCTGAATTGGGTTGCTGGGCTCAAATGCTACTGTATGTATGTAAATTGTATTGTAAAGTTAAAGTGTAATGATAATGAACCTAACTGAGGTTGCAATTTGCCTTGTCTTTGGTGTTGCTATCTACTGGATTGTTATAACTCAGCCTTTGATATCAAACAGCTCCACAGTCCACAGTTACTTGACGTGAAAATATCTGTGGTTTTGTTCTATTGTGGGAAATTTTCAGCTATTTCCAAACTCTTTTTATCCCTGTAATACCTACCAATGATTACTTAATAAAATTTACCCACTTAGGAAACTCTAGTAAACTTGATGGCACTCATAACTGGTCTGATAATTACACCTCTGGTCTCTGGAAATGCACTGTAAGTACAAGACATCATAACATTTTTTTTATGGTCACTGTGGCAACACCATAGGTGAGGATATTGTTAACTCAATCCCTCTGCCCTCTTTGAAATCTATTAAAGCTTACATTTCTTATCCTAAAATTTTTTTACACCAGCACAATGTCCACCTTATGTCAGTCTAATTTGTCGTGTCTTATTAAGTATTGTATTGTTATAAGCTTCATGATTTTTTGTTAGGCCTCCTTGCCATTTCCTGTTTCTCTTCTTATCCACGAAGTGATCTGTACTGGAACTTTACACAGCCTAACTTGTGTCAGCCTAACTTGTCATGTCTTAATAAGTATTGTATTGTTATAAGCTTCATGATTTTTTGTTAGGCCTTCTCGCCATTTCCTGTTTCTCTTCTTATCCTCAAAGTGATCTGTACTGGAACTTTACACAGTACATACTTTCCTCAAAAGAAAACGCAACTTTGTTTACACTATTAACTATTAGAAGATAAATTTATGATTGAAGATATAATTCTCCCTCAAAGAAAAATGAAAAAAGGTTGCCAACATCATTATTGCATTTTGAAGTATGTATTTCAGCTTTTGTCAGTATTAGTTTTCCACAGCTCTTCATGTTGTTAAAAGTCCTTTTCCAGGAACACCATTCTTGTGTTTTTATATGGTCTAAATAATCCAGAGCTTATCAAAATCATGTACATCTTGAACCAAGAGGAATTTTTGCTGAAGTGAGGCAATCAAAATTCAAAATGTAAGACGATACTCTTGTTTCCATCCAAGTCTTTGAGATGACTCATGTTGTGTCATGTTTTTTCCTTCCCAGTCTAACATGGACTTTGTTTTTCGTCTTCACTTTCCTTCATCTTTATGCAAATTTTCGAGCTGTGTCATCTGTTGTCATGGAAACGGTCAACATACCTCGCCTCCATGTCCTTGTCGATGAGTTTCTGTGTGAAGGTCGTATCATGACGCCAGAGGAAGTGGGCAGTAGAGAGCCTGTTGTATTTGGTAAAGTTTCGCTCAACATCCAATAAAATGTTATTGTCTTGTCGTTGATATCACTTGAAGTGCATAAGAAAATGATACAAATGAAGGTACTGCAGCAGAAGACAGAGAGCTGATTTTAAGACCAATGTTATGACCAAAACAAATGAGACCCGGTCTAAAAAATAATTGGATGAACTAGTTGACACTCTAGTGGCCTATGTTCAGCCAGTTTTTGTGGTTAGTTTGTTAAGCAAAAGGACAGAAAAAGGTGAGAGGAAAAGGCTGCAAACACTAAGTGTGACACATACAGAAAAAGAGGGACTGCAGACCAAGCTAGAGAGAATAAATTGTGCATTGTTCCCAAGATGCAAAAAGTAATATAATTAGTCGTAGCCATAGTGTTGGAGTAGTTTAAGGTGATTTGCATTTCTTTATATTTTCAGGCTTTAATACAGGAGAGTGTCTCAGAATCCATTTAGGGGCAGAGTTTACTTCCGTAGTAAAAAGGTAAAACAATATGACCTATCAAACATGTGGACAACAACTGGCTGACCAGACAACTGTGTACAGTTCTTGACTTCTCTGCTCATATGTGCAATATTTCTGTATTTCAGTGTGAGTGATCTTGATGCTGCACTACCAAGCTCAAAGGAGAGCCGATATATTATGAAACTAAACTTTCTCCAAGGGAGAAGTTCAGGTGAACTTTATTTAGTAACGAATTTCTTATTGCTGGTTTGTCCTTTTGATTTCATTGATGCTGGGGCTGATCTAGGGGTTCGGAGTAGGGGAGGTCAAACCCCCTAAATTAAAAAAAAATGTATCATGCTGACTTGGCCTCAGAATGCTGGAAATCCCTTTTCTGAGGACCTCAATTTCAAAAATTTTACGGGGGAGATGCCCCCAGACCCCTCGACAGGGAAGGAAATTGGTGGTGTGTATCTTGAACCCCCTTCTGTAAAATCCTGTATCCACCCTAGGGGTGGTCAGTCATTTTCTAGCCCCGCCAGTATTTTGATGAAATTCTTCCTCAACACAGGTTCCATTCATATAGTGTTACATGAAGATTCCAGTGCTGAAGATCATCTTCAGAGCTGTTTCCAGGCTTGTACTTTAGATTATGTGATACGCACCAGACCGAATTCAACAAAGGTAATTACCGGCAACTGTTTAATCCATATTATACAGACAACTCTCTGAAAAGACAAGTAAGAACTTCAGTCTATTTTATTTTCTTGAATGGCCCATGTTCAATTAACGTAGACTCGAGTTAATCTTTTCTTTCCATTTTTAAAGGGTTTGAGTGACTTAGATGGCGGTCAAAGAGCGCTGGAGGCTTTGCATAATTTTTGGTGGCAAGGTAGGTCAAGAAAAAAAATAAAAACCAAAATTTGCAGTCCGGTTACGTTGAGTTCCATTATGCTCGAGTACTTCGTTTCAAGTAATGTCAGCAGTATTTTAGGGAACCTAAAAAGTGGAAACAGTTAATTTTTTTTTTTATTCCGCGTTTGAGGAGCTCTGATTGGTTTGCGACTGTTTGTGTTATTTTTACTGACCAATCAGGTGGAAATGCTGCTGACGCGACTTTTCCCGCGCTTGCCGTCGTTTGCGTATTCTTAAGTCGACTTCTGATTGGTTAAGGATATTGTTCAGTTGCGCGACTGGCTCACAGCTGATTGGCCTAAACCGCAGAAAAGACTGCCGTTCAGGTTTAAGAAACCGTTAGCGGGAAGAAGTGTTGAATAAAGACCCAAAAAACGGCCGCAAAGGAAGTTATAAGGGCAGAAAATTCAAGCTCTTGACCGTTAAATGCCAACTGCATTCACTGATCTCCTATTAAAATAGTTTTTAGAACCTCACATCCCCAATTTATGATTCTCTTCATTTTTGTTTTGCAGAGAGGAACCAGCCCAGTGACTGTTCGTGGGATCTAGTAGCACTAGCCCATAATTTCACCCTCCAGGCTTTCCCAGCATTCATCAAGGGCCTTGAAGAGGCTGGGTGGGTCACCTCGCGCACACATTTGGGCCCAGATGAATGGCGAACTGTTTGGAATGTGAAGGGACTTGAGATCAAGAAAAGTATTTAAAACGTTAAGCAGGATGTAGAGGGAAATGTGTAAAATTGTATCTGTAAATACTGAAAAGGATGAAAATAAAGTCTCGTTATAGTTAGTGGAATTTTGACTTAAGTTTGCTTCTTTTTTGACACAGTACTGCGCGACCCAACGCCAGCGCCTAGTTGCACTCGAGAAGACTGGCGCTACTACCGACTGAGATTCTCAGTACCACAACCACGGAAACTTTACGGACTAACGAAACTGCACAAACCAGGTATACCCATGCGGCCAATATGGTCTCATTCTGTGGGTCCCTTACCTATCAACTATCTAAATACTTGACGATCATACTAAAACCCCTTACTGACAAATCAAGACGCGAGCTACAGTCTACTGAGGACCGTCTTGACGCTATCAAGAGCGTTCTACAAACTTGAAATCACTGATCACCAGTGGTCCACTTCAACTGGCTTCAAAGCGTACCGAGAGTGCCATCTAACAGTCTTTTCTCAAACTATCGCTACCGACAGAAGAGATCGTCGACGTGCTTCTAGTACAACGGCAAACGCTACACGAAGCCCGACACAACAGAAACCTGACATGAAGTGGGGAACCACTGCAATCGCTTTAGAACTGCTGTACATGCCGGTCAAAGATTTTCTGACATTTACTTCTCAAACGGTTTCTTTGGAGTACAGGTTAGAAGTAAAATCAGATCCAAAAGGCCCGGCCCGTTTGACATGAATGAGATTGCTTCTGAGAAGTGTTAGAGCCAATCGTTAGATTTACCCTCCCCTCCACCCCCCCCCCCTCCCTCCCTCAACCGGGGGAGAAGGGGACTCCCATATAACAGGGCCGGTGCTGTTCGTCGTACAGAGACGATAAAATACATGGCAAGAGATAATGCGTTGCTTTAGAATTGGTACCTCTTGGGTGTACAAAAAATTCAAGCCACGCCCACAAAAGGGGATCTTGGTACCCCTTAGGAATTCTTTGAAAATTTCTGGGGAGCACTTTTTTGGGAGTGAGCCTGGGGCAGAGATTTGAGTATCCTTGCCAGCCCCTCTCGGCATGTACAACAATTTGTTTGGAAAACAAAATGGCGGTTATCCCAAACTTCACGTACTGTCTGTGATGTATAATGACTGACTCATCTGATGACTGAGTTATGTTCCTAACGTACGAGGGGTGTATAATAGAAAGTATGTGATCTTTCCAAGTGCGGCAGAGATCGAGTGCAAAATGAGTGAATCATCGCGAAAAGCAACGATTTCTAGAGGTGTCATGAAACGGAAAGGAATCCATAGCCGAATATGTACAAGAAGCAGATCAAAGGTGGAGAAAATAAGAGAGTCTTTAAAGAATCTGAAAATAGAGGAAAACCAGATCAAACCAATCAGGAACAAGGTGTCTACAGATGATCCAAGCTCGCGGAGTTGGTTTCACGATTTCGACTTGGACTTTCGAATTGGTGATAAAGAACTAACAGTTCAGTTGCATAGTCTTCAATTTCCTTTAGAAGGTTCGTTAAAAAGGCACAGTTGTCTAAACCGTAAAGGAGAAAAATCACCGGTGAATTCCGAAAGTTTGAGCCGCAGTCGATCTGAAAGATGTAAAGCCAAATTCGACAGCGGTCCAGGCATGTTAGGGAGAAACAAAGGTAAATCAAGGGATCAACTAGAAAAATGTTATTCAGATTGGAATCATGGTGATTCCCAAACTTCCAAGAGCTATTTGTCCATGTCAGAAACTGTAGACATTGTTGAAGACACTCGTAAAAGAAAATGTGACAGCGACTTACAGACAAATATTGCTATAAACAAAGATCAGAGCCCACCCTCCCCTCCCAACAGTCCTCTGTATGACATGCCTCCCCCCTCTACCCCTGCCCAGAAGCAAGAAAGAAGGGCAAAGCGGCTTCTTCAGTTGGAAAGGTGGAAAAAATGTGAAACATCCAGGTCACGCCAAGAGCGATACAATAGAAGAGCTCAAGGGGCAGCGGAAACAATGCAAAAATCTATATCAATGGACTCTAGACGTGTACAATGGAGTCAGGATTTAGTGCAGACTGTTTACATTGATGATTCAGATGATGAACCAAATCGGATGGATTCCTCAATGGTGTAGCATTTATTCCTCTTTGTTTTACCTCTCAAGTCTAGCAATTAACACACCCAGGACTGTCTCATCGTTTTTTTTTTAGTATACAGGCTTAATTAAAAAGTTGGCACATGGCCAACCAGGCCTCTCTACTTTGCAAGATAATACTTGAATTACAGAAGCTGTAACATGCATGACACTTTTGACATGTGTCGCAGGTGTGATGGGCTCTACAGAATTTCTTGATTAGAAGATAAGATGTCCTGTTGAGCCTTGTAGGTTACCATGCTACTTTAAAATATTGAGCCATCATATTAGTTTTTAGTATAAATCTACTAGCATTCTATCAAGAATACCATTCCCTGATTGGCTATGCTACTCACTATCTATTCTGTGAGAGATAGTGAGTAGTGTATCAGTGTGCCCTTGTTAACAAAATGATGGCCACTTTGCATTTTCAAAGTGTCTGTGAAGAGGATTCAGATAAAGTTTCGAACGACTAGTAGATTTATACTAAAACAATTAGAATATTTGCTCTTGATTTCTATCATGTGGCTCACTATGATAGAGGCAAGATAGCTCTATTTATACACTTGATATAATATTGGGTTGAGTGTATGATATCATGTCATCTCATTTGCATATTTAACACAATTTTCAAACTTAAATATCTCCGGAACTAATGCAGATATTTGCAGACGGTAAACAACAGTTTTATTCTTTCATGGAATTCTATGTGACACCTAAAAAAATCAAGGGGTAAAAAGTTGATTGTAGTACCACTTTAAAATTATGAGAGGAGCAGTCTAACAGTTTTAGAAGACACTTTAAGGGTTCCAGTCCTAACATACCGGTACACTTCATGGAATTTTAATTCAAAGTCAAGAGCAGCATGTAGAGGATTGTGTTCTATCAGCAAGAGAACCAGCCAGAATAACTGTTATTGCAGTTGAGTCTGTGGTCAAAAGTTCCTTTGTTGTAAAAGGCAAGCAAACGAGGTAAAAGGGTCAATACAAATTATGCACAATTGACCCCTTCACCTCATTTGTGTCAAGCCGCTGATAACTGCAGTAACAGCTATTAAGGATCTTTTCAAAAATAATACGACTTTTTTAATTTTCACAAACATGTTTCGATGGTACATACGTCATCGTCAGTGTGACGGTTATGAAAGTTTGCAGTGATTTAAAAGGATCTCTAGTTGAACACACTGAGTGTCTGCTAATACCTGCCACAGTTTAAACTTCTGTCCTTTTTTTAGCTACAAACAAAGTCTTGATGGATTCTGTTGTTGTTATACAGTTTGTTGTTTGCATCCAAAACTTAAATTGACTAATACATCATGCTGCACAGTCAGAGCTTGAAAATATCCTTGCAAAGGAACTTACTGACTGAAACCCCGAGCCAAATGCCATTTTGTGTAAAGTAAGTGTGGGATGAAGAAATACTTCACCTACTGTACATGACGTTTAGGTATGCAGCACAAAATGTATACTGATAATGATAGTTAATGTTTACTTAAAAAGCTACTGGTTGAAATTTCTATGTTTAAAATTAAATCTCACAAAAGACTAATAATAATTTAATCACTTTATTTTTTTTTTCTCAAATGTTCTTACTAGTAGTACATAACATTTAAATATCATAAAACATGATAGATCTTGACTTGAGTTCCTGTATATATTATTTGCATTTAATTGTATGAAGAATAAAAGCAACTCTAAATTTACAGAACTTTATTTAACTGATTACAATGTTCGATTTTCAGCACTCCTTTTTTTTGCTGAACCATTGTTTTTATGATTATGTGATCCACACAATACTTAGATTAACAGGAGCAAAATATCAATTTTTAGTTTGAGCAGATATTGAAGTAAGACAAAGAGAGTTTCTATGAATAAGACTTCAGTCGTCAATGGCAAGAGCATCATGTCAAATTTACAATATACACAGGTCCATGTTTCAATCAAATAAACATCTAAATGATATTTCAATGACCACTGAGTGTGCCAATATATGCAGATATTGTCAATTAAAAAGATAATCTCTCATAAATAATAACAGCAGTCCAGTGGATTCCTGAAGAGAGGAGAATTTGTTGATGGCCAAAGACAACTTGGAGGGGAATGGTCAAAGCTGAGCTGAACATCCTAAATGATGCTTGGGGAATCACCGACGGAAACAAGCACACAACAGACAAGAGTGGAGAAACTTTGTCACTGCGCTTAGTGCTGACAGGCACATAGGAGAGTAACCTAAACTAACTTCTTAAATAACACAAATTTCCCTGATCAACAAGAAATTATCTGACAATTAAAATCCAACTCCTTCATATTAAATTTTTTAAAAAAATTTTAAAACATTGTTCAGGTAGAAGAGGCAGCTGTATACATTCACTGATACTATTAGATGGTACTGTGAGCAAGTGGATTAAACTTGTTGGAATTCTCCTTAAACTATATTCTTCCAAAAATATTTGAAGTTAATACTTTGGGAGGTTGGTCACTGCTTATCGGATTCGCTTCACAACTGAAAAGTTTATGGCTACATATACTTTTGGGGAAGGGTTTCTTTATCTTCTCTGTGAGTCCATTGGCTTTTATTAAGTAACAATGATCAAATTGGTGACAGCTTTTACCTAGTCTAAGGATTCGAACGTTGGAGTCTGCCATGTTAAAATGCACAGTGAAGACTTAATAATTGTGTTACTGTGGCCTTTTAAATAGAATTTCTATACCCCCTCAGTTTTAAAAATAAAGTTAATACACCTATTCTAGACTCAAGGTTTTGACATTGAATTTTAAGGTCAATTTGTAGATAAGAATGCCTACAATATCATGACATAACATGTATAAGAGTCAAAAATGAATAGATGTGTAACCGCTAGTAAACTCATGTCCTCTTTACAAGATAAATAAAGTTAGAAGTTCCTGCAGCAATGATTGGATGATGGCTATGTCTCTCATAATCAACAGTATACACAGCACGTGGAAGATCTACAAGCCGTCCAGTGGTCTGCACAAGAACAAATTGAGTAATTATAATTAGTTTCTTTTGAATAACTTAAGACTTGCAAGTCACGGTCAACACTGAGAAAAAGTCTTACCTGAAAAGTTCCTTGATCCACACATCTCATCATATTGTTGTCACTTCCTCCTGCTAGGATGCTATCAGGACCTTGCCATTGAACACAGTACAGCTAGAAATAAGCACAGACACAGACACTTGTCACCTACTCATAAATAAGGTTACAAAAATGCCTGCTGGGTGTAAATTTACAACTGGAATAGGACAGTTTAGTAAGCATTCAGCTTGGGTCTTGGTTCAATTCTTCCCTGGAATTCATGAACTTTGGATAATTATTAAGTTGTTCACTGGTTCTCTTGCTTTGTCGAAAAAAACCTCCAATACCCCCTCCCTTTCCCACCTTCTGGTTAGAAGCTACAAGTTAGTGTCTGCATATGAGCAGAGTGGCTCATCTGGCCAGAGCTTATCCTGGTTTCTCCAGCATGAAGCATCTAGGAGTATTTCTACTCCCCCCCCTGGATGGGATGCTAGTCCATCGCAGGGTTACCCCCAGTATTAAGTATTCCAGTACCCATTTATACACCTGGGTAAAGAGAGGTACTGTGAGAGTTGAGTGTTTTGCCCAAGAACACAACACAATGTCCCAGGTCAGGGCTCGAACCCGGACTGTTTGATCTGGAGACAAGCCCATTAACCATGAGGCCACTGTGCCTTCCACGGAAGAGCTGCAAGGGCACTCCTAAAATCCCTAAAAGTTCTGGGATTATAACGTTTGCATCATGCATTGAATAAAATTATTTTTTTATCTCAATTCGAAAAGTACCAGACAAGCTTGGTATATTTTAAACAGCTAAAGCACATCACCTACCATACTTCCATTATAATCAGAGGGCACATCTTTTAAGAGCTTGCCTGAGCCATAGTCCCAGATCTGAAGAGTTTTGTCTTTCCTCCATGATCCTGTGAGGATTTGCCGACTGGAACCTGACATACTTAGTGCCTGGATGTCTAGTGCATCCCCACAGATATGGGGTCCAAAGATTTTTCTGATAAATAAGTAATGCCAGTTGAAGCAAAATGAGCCGATTTACAGACTGGTTGTATTCATGAGTTCATGTTAGAGCATCACACTGTACCTTACCTCACTGAATGTTTGGTGTCAACTCTTGTGTCCCAAAACTGTACAACAAAACATACACAATAACGGTGTCGTTTCAGCAAATGAAATTAATGCTCTGTGCATCGGATGATTGTCTAACAATGTAGTAATGTAGATCACGGCTGACACTCAAGGCTGAAACCCATAACACAATTATGTTAAGGCTGAGTAAACTTGATTTTATCTTCAAGCTACAGATGAAATTGCCTTTTGTTGATAGAATTCACCCACAAAGTTACAAGTTTTGCTACAGGTGAAGTGACTTACAACTTAATGACAGCCCTGTAGACAACAATGCTTGGTCTCCTCATTCATCACCAGACAAAACATTTGAAGTGGAAACATTATTACCAACAACCCAAGTGACTAAATGGTCAGAGATGATTCAAAATACTTCATAATTACTTATTTCTATCACTGATTTTGTTTTTATTATAAATTATTACAATTTTGCATATAGCCTTTTTCATGAAGTGACAGTGTTAACAGATTTAACAGAGCTTAACCAGGAGTAGCAAAAGTGTTAATCATCACCGGGGGTATTTTCTAATGAATATTATAAGTCATTGTATACAGTTATATTACCATAAATGTGATCAAGTAGTGTATACTTTTATTTCAAGTGTTGATTACTTGTACAAGTACAAATCAAAATCTTTTGTATGGTCATTTCTTTTAACTAAAAGTAAAGGAAAAGACCAGTTTGACCAAATGGTGGTCACAGTCAACTATGGAAGAGGCTGCTTGCAAGAGCTTTTCAAACAGGATTTCACAATCTATGCTGGTTGTGCCAATTGAAAGGGTGGTAATGATGGAAGTTTTGACTGTACCAGGGAGATCCAGCTTTCCATTATGGGGACAGGAGTTGCTGAAAATGCAGAGAAAACACCCTTAGATTCTCAGATCTGTAGAGTCAGTCAGTGAACATTTTTATTACCTGTACTGTGTCATCCCAACCTCCAGACAGGAATTCATCGTCCTGACCAGGAGTGTACTGCACACTGAATACACGACTCATATGACCATCCATTACCAGGTGTGAGGAACTGTCAATAACACATTCAACAAGCCAAATAAAATGAATANTCATATTAGTTTTTAGTATAAATCTACTAGCATTCTATCAAGAATACCATTCCCTGATTGGCTATGCTACTCACTATCTATTCTGTGAGAGATAGTGAGTAGTGTATCAGTGTGCCCTTGTTAACAAAATGATGGCCACTTTGCATTTTCAAAGTGTCTGTGAAGAGGATTCAGATAAAGTTTCGAACGACTAGTAGATTTATACTAAAACAATTAGAATATTTGCTCTTGATTTCTATCATGTGGCTCACTATGATAGAGGCAAGATAGCTCTATTTATACACTTGATATAATATTGGGTTGAGTGTATGATATCATGTCATCTCATTTGCATATTTAACACAATTTTCAAACTTAAATATCTCCGGAACTAATGCAGATATTTGCAGACGGTAAACAACAGTTTTATTCTTTCATGGAATTCTATGTGACACCTAAAAAAATCAAGGGGTAAAAAGTTGATTGTAGTACCACTTTAAAATTATGAGAGGAGCAGTCTAACAGTTTTAGAAGACACTTTAAGGGTTCCAGTCCTAACATACCGGTACACTTCATGGAATTTTAATTCAAAGTCAAGAGCAGCATGTAGAGGATTGTGTTCTATCAGCAAGAGAACCAGCCAGAATAACTGTTATTGCAGTTGAGTCTGTGGTCAAAAGTTCCTTTGTTGTAAAAGGCAAGCAAACGAGGTAAAAGGGTCAATACAAATTATGCACAATTGACCCCTTCACCTCATTTGTGTCAAGCCGCTGATAACTGCAGTAACAGCTATTAAGGATCTTTTCAAAAATAATACGACTTTTTTAATTTTCACAAACATGTTTCGATGGTACATACGTCATCGTCAGTGTGACGGTTATGAAAGTTTGCAGTGATTTAAAAGGATCTCTAGTTGAACACACTGAGTGTCTGCTAATACCTGCCACAGTTTAAACTTCTGTCCTTTTTTTAGCTACAAACAAAGTCTTGATGGATTCTGTTGTTGTTATACAGTTTGTTGTTTGCATCCAAAACTTAAATTGACTAATACATCATGCTGCACAGTCAGAGCTTGAAAATATCCTTGCAAAGGAACTTACTGACTGAAACCCCGAGCCAAATGCCATTTTGTGTAAAGTAAGTGTGGGATGAAGAAATACTTCACCTACTGTACATGACGTTTAGGTATGCAGCACAAAATGTATACTGATAATGATAGTTAATGTTTACTTAAAAAGCTACTGGTTGAAATTTCTATGTTTAAAATTAAATCTCACAAAAGACTAATAATAATTTAATCACTTTATTTTTTTTTTCTCAAATGTTCTTACTAGTAGTACATAACATTTAAATATCATAAAACATGATAGATCTTGACTTGAGTTCCTGTATATATTATTTGCATTTAATTGTATGAAGAATAAAAGCAACTCTAAATTTACAGAACTTTATTTAACTGATTACAATGTTCGATTTTCAGCACTCCTTTTTTTTGCTGAACCATTGTTTTTATGATTATGTGATCCACACAATACTTAGATTAACAGGAGCAAAATATCAATTTTTAGTTTGAGCAGATATTGAAGTAAGACAAAGAGAGTTTCTATGAATAAGACTTCAGTCGTCAATGGCAAGAGCATCATGTCAAATTTACAATATACACAGGTCCATGTTTCAATCAAATAAACATCTAAATGATATTTCAATGACCACTGAGTGTGCCAATATATGCAGATATTGTCAATTAAAAAGATAATCTCTCATAAATAATAACAGCAGTCCAGTGGATTCCTGAAGAGAGGAGAATTTGTTGATGGCCAAAGACAACTTGGAGGGGAATGGTCAAAGCTGAGCTGAACATCCTAAATGATGCTTGGGGAATCACCGACGGAAACAAGCACACAACAGACAAGAGTGGAGAAACTTTGTCACTGCGCTTAGTGCTGACAGGCACATAGGAGAGTAACCTAAACTAACTTCTTAAATAACACAAATTTCCCTGATCAACAAGAAATTATCTGACAATTAAAATCCAACTCCTTCATATTAAATTTTTTAAAAAAATTTTAAAACATTGTTCAGGTAGAAGAGGCAGCTGTATACATTCACTGATACTATTAGATGGTACTGTGAGCAAGTGGATTAAACTTGTTGGAATTCTCCTTAAACTATATTCTTCCAAAAATATTTGAAGTTAATACTTTGGGAGGTTGGTCACTGCTTATCGGATTCGCTTCACAACTGAAAAGTTTATGGCTACATATACTTTTGGGGAAGGGTTTCTTTATCTTCTCTGTGAGTCCATTGGCTTTTATTAAGTAACAATGATCAAATTGGTGACAGCTTTTACCTAGTCTAAGGATTCGAACGTTGGAGTCTGCCATGTTAAAATGCACAGTGAAGACTTAATAATTGTGTTACTGTGGCCTTTTAAATAGAATTTCTATACCCCCTCAGTTTTAAAAATAAAGTTAATACACCTATTCTAGACTCAAGGTTTTGACATTGAATTTTAAGGTCAATTTGTAGATAAGAATGCCTACAATATCATGACATAACATGTATAAGAGTCAAAAATGAATAGATGTGTAACCGCTAGTAAACTCATGTCCTCTTTACAAGATAAATAAAGTTAGAAGTTCCTGCAGCAATGATTGGATGATGGCTATGTCTCTCATAATCAACAGTATACACAGCACGTGGAAGATCTACAAGCCGTCCAGTGGTCTGCACAAGAACAAATTGAGTAATTATAATTAGTTTCTTTTGAATAACTTAAGACTTGCAAGTCACGGTCAACACTGAGAAAAAGTCTTACCTGAAAAGTTCCTTGATCCACACATCTCATCATATTGTTGTCACTTCCTCCTGCTAGGATGCTATCAGGACCTTGCCATTGAACACAGTACAGCTAGAAATAAGCACAGACACAGACACTTGTCACCTACTCATAAATAAGGTTACAAAAATGCCTGCTGGGTGTAAATTTACAACTGGAATAGGACAGTTTAGTAAGCATTCAGCTTGGGTCTTGGTTCAATTCTTCCCTGGAATTCATGAACTTTGGATAATTATTAAGTTGTTCACTGGTTCTCTTGCTTTGTCGAAAAAAACCTCCAATACCCCCTCCCTTTCCCACCTTCTGGTTAGAAGCTACAAGTTAGTGTCTGCATATGAGCAGAGTGGCTCATCTGGCCAGAGCTTATCCTGGTTTCTCCAGCATGAAGCATCTAGGAGTATTTCTACTCCCCCCCCTGGATGGGATGCTAGTCCATCGCAGGGTTACCCCCAGTATTAAGTATTCCAGTACCCATTTATACACCTGGGTAAAGAGAGGTACTGTGAGAGTTGAGTGTTTTGCCCAAGAACACAACACAATGTCCCAGGTCAGGGCTCGAACCCGGACTGTTTGATCTGGAGACAAGCCCATTAACCATGAGGCCACTGTGCCTTCCACGGAAGAGCTGCAAGGGCACTCCTAAAATCCCTAAAAGTTCTGGGATTATAACGTTTGCATCATGCATTGAATAAAATTATTTTTTTATCTCAATTCGAAAAGTACCAGACAAGCTTGGTATATTTTAAACAGCTAAAGCACATCACCTACCATACTTCCATTATAATCAGAGGGCACATCTTTTAAGAGCTTGCCTGAGCCATAGTCCCAGATCTGAAGAGTTTTGTCTTTCCTCCATGATCCTGTGAGGATTTGCCGACTGGAACCTGACATACTTAGTGCCTGGATGTCTAGTGCATCCCCACAGATATGGGGTCCAAAGATTTTTCTGATAAATAAGTAATGCCAGTTGAAGCAAAATGAGCCGATTTACAGACTGGTTGTATTCATGAGTTCATGTTAGAGCATCACACTGTACCTTACCTCACTGAATGTTTGGTGTCAACTCTTGTGTCCCAAAACTGTACAACAAAACATACACAATAACGGTGTCGTTTCAGCAAATGAAATTAATGCTCTGTGCATCGGATGATTGTCTAACAATGTAGTAATGTAGATCACGGCTGACACTCAAGGCTGAAACCCATAACACAATTATGTTAAGGCTGAGTAAACTTGATTTTATCTTCAAGCTACAGATGAAATTGCCTTTTGTTGATAGAATTCACCCACAAAGTTACAAGTTTTGCTACAGGTGAAGTGACTTACAACTTAATGACAGCCCTGTAGACAACAATGCTTGGTCTCCTCATTCATCACCAGACAAAACATTTGAAGTGGAAACATTATTACCAACAACCCAAGTGACTAAATGGTCAGAGATGATTCAAAATACTTCATAATTACTTATTTCTATCACTGATTTTGTTTTTATTATAAATTATTACAATTTTGCATATAGCCTTTTTCATGAAGTGACAGTGTTAACAGATTTAACAGAGCTTAACCAGGAGTAGCAAAAGTGTTAATCATCACCGGGGGTATTTTCTAATGAATATTATAAGTCATTGTATACAGTTATATTACCATAAATGTGATCAAGTAGTGTATACTTTTATTTCAAGTGTTGATTACTTGTACAAGTACAAATCAAAATCTTTTGTATGGTCATTTCTTTTAACTAAAAGTAAAGGAAAAGACCAGTTTGACCAAATGGTGGTCACAGTCAACTATGGAAGAGGCTGCTTGCAAGAGCTTTTCAAACAGGATTTCACAATCTATGCTGGTTGTGCCAATTGAAAGGGTGGTAATGATGGAAGTTTTGACTGTACCAGGGAGATCCAGCTTTCCATTATGGGGACAGGAGTTGCTGAAAATGCAGAGAAAACACCCTTAGATTCTCAGATCTGTAGAGTCAGTCAGTGAACATTTTTATTACCTGTACTGTGTCATCCCAACCTCCAGACAGGAATTCATCGTCCTGACCAGGAGTGTACTGCACACTGAATACACGACTCATATGACCATCCATTACCAGGTGTGAGGAACTGTCAATAACACATTCAACAAGCCAAATAAAATGAATACTGACAAACAGACAGCACACATACAGTAAGAATGAGTGTATAATACATTAAACACACTGGGGTTTTGTATACACTGTTCATCAGTCGCTGATAAACTGGCTGTTGTCAAGAGGTTACTTTGGCAGTTGGTCCGGAGCACTCCTAAGTGCTGTGCTCTAGAGCCACCCAGGTGCCATAGGCAACTAACTTTTCCCTTTGGGTGACTGGAAAAACTTACTTTTTTCATATAAGCTTTAGTGCTGGGTACACAGAATTTCATGGTTACGAGCCTTTGGGCTCCTCTTAGTTTTTCTTAGACCACAGCCTTGGTGGCCATTACCATTGTGGAGAGGTGGCCATATAACAGAGGGTAAAATAAGACTGAATGTATGGATCACCTGCTGGGACAACAAAAAAGTGGCTACTGCAGAGAGCCGGCTGTCACTGGACGTTCCACTCTGTTACATTAAACATTCACATACCTTGGTTGCAATGTGCAGATAACTTGTTTGGTTCTCTCATCATACACATTCAGCTTGGTGTCTGATCCAGCAGTGACAAATCTATCTCCTGAAGAATTGTACGCACATGCTAAGATCTGTTTGGAAGCTTCTGTTAATGTTCCTATACATGAACTGGTTGATATGTGCCATATTTTTATTTTACCATCAGCATCTGTAGTGAGTACATAATATTCAGAAACACTCACACACCAAAAACAAAAAATAAGGTATATTTTTCAGACTTGCCTGCAGTCTGCTTGACATGTAGATGAATATATTGAAAGTTAGACACTTTTACTTAAGAAATCAGACATCATGGTTTTGCTTTTCTTAGCCCTGTGATTGATTTTATGTCCCTAACTCAGCTAGTCAGGTCCAAGTCACTAACACCAAGTGCTTTCCTGCACCAAATGATGATGCCATTGGTTCTTTGCATTGTTAAATTATTTAAGTTTGATGATATTGTGATTCCTTTAGTTTGTGACAGCTGACTGAAAACTGCTTTAGTTTTAAAAGAAACTGTGCAGTGCTGAAGCTTACTTCCATTGAGATTTCCCACTTTTTAGGTGTTTATTGGTCCTTTTAATTTATGCTAACTCTAAGCTAAAAACTTAAACCACAACCTTGATTCTTGGGTCTCAAATGACTCTCAGTTTTGCACACTCATTGGCTAATTTTCATTGACATTACTCAGACAGACACATCAATTTTTAATTTTTGCCATAGCTTGTTGTGAAAGAACATATTGACCTCAGTTTTCATGCATCTGTCCTGTTTTGACAATGATTTCTCCATTACATTGTCAAAGTAGCATGTGGATCCACTCGTTTATTGCCAGATCCTCAGCTACTTTGAAAATGTTATGATGAAATTCACGATCAATAAAAGGACTGCATGAAAAACTGACGCCAATTTGTAAAATTTAACATTTTTGAAGAAGAACAACACAGTTAAGGGTGACTCCGAATTGACACTCTGTAACTTAACAATATGCGTGTTCAGTAATTTTTAAGCTTTTCCTTAAAGTTATATCATGACGATGTTCTTATATTTTATATACTTTTTTGTTAACTTGTATTCAATGTTAGAAGGGCCACTGGTTTATCAGCTCTCATTATTACGATTACATATTATGAAGTAACAGTTGCCCTACTATTATATTGATGATTATCCCTATCTTAATTGAACTAAAAATTAATTATTTTTTACATTTGATAAATTTCGGTAATTTTGTATGGCGAAGGTAAAAACAGGTGACAATAATCACTGAATTTCCCAAGGGTTAATGAACTAAAAAACCTTCATGGAAACTAAAAGATTGGCTAAATTGTTCAGTTTGTGTGAAATCAACTTACAAGTTGCTAGCAACATATTTCCGTAACTGTCTCCTTCTTTTGTCGGCTTCCACCGAAGGCAAGTCACCGGCAAATGGCTATTAAAAGTGTCTTGGTCCGAAAGGCTGTAAACACAATGGCCTGTATCGGTCGCATAGACCTAAATTCATAAAATCAAAAGAGTAATCACAAGCTTCGGGTTTGTTTTTTCGCGTCGCCAAAGGCGCAAGTCATATTAGCGTCATGAAAATTTAGCTTACACTTGAACTTAAATAGGCAGAAATAATATTCACAGAAGTGAAAATTATCGAAAAGTTTACTAATACAAACAAGTATTTGAATGAAACTGAACCATGTAACTGCGGAAAAGGCCAAGCTCTTTTACCTTAGTAACGCCGTTGGCCAAACCAACCGCTAACAGGCCTCCCTCAGGATTGAATCGACAACACATCACTTCCGAATTTGTCTCCCTGTTTTAAATATAATTATTGCAGTTTTTAGAATACAAAACAATACGGCAATACCAATTAATAGGCGTACTTTGATCGTTATCACCAACTTCAAAATGCAAGCAAAAAATTATCAAGAACATTGCTCACAGTGTGTTCATTATCTTGAGGTTTCCCTCGGCCGTTGGTGCCATGACGGGAACAGAGTTGGTGACCGTTTCGCGAGGCGTTGTAGCCGTAGACAGAGGCGCTTGAACCAAATGCATGGTGTTTAAATGGTCTATTATGATATGTTAGCCCAGCTGTCTTAGTTGCCTATAATCCCATTGGAACAGGAAGAGAAATAATTTGCACGAACGTTTGCATGCAAGCCGAAATTCCAAAAACAAATAGTTTACCCCCTGTGCGCATGCGTTACTGGTTGGCTGGCGAGTTTACCATAGCAACGAACGAGACGGTACCTTGCCCCTGAATATTACCTCTAGAAGCCAAAATATTCGAGCTCACTGACCCCCATCTATGGCCAAATTTTCTTCCAGCATGTCAGATATGTTTAAGACAAGATTTAGCAAATTTGAAAGGAAAAAAAATTAACGGGGCTCAGAGCCACCTGAACCTAAATCAGGAAATGTTTTAAAAAAGATTTGACGAGATCAGATTTAGTTTCCCGGGAGATTTTTTAGGGCGAAGAGGGGTGCGGCAAAACCTTCATGATCGGGCCATGAGATAAGTTTAGCCTGAAGGTCGCGTGTGCTATAAGGAAGGAGGTGTGGAGAAAGCACTTGCAGAGATTCTTTCAAGAATCTCTGTTTTGTATTCTTCAAAATGCGTGTAAATTAATGTATTCGATGAAGGCGAAAGAGTAGCTCGAGAAAAGTTTTGGCACGATCGAAAGTGCCACAGAGTTTTTAAGAAGGATGAAAAGAGGGCAAAAGCTTTCGTTCATTTTGAGGTGTGTTCGAAGCGTGTTGCCCAAAACATTTTGAGGTTTAGTAGTCTCTCCTGATGAAAATAATACATACTGAAGGATATATGTCATTAACTTACCTCAGGACCGCCTCCCTTCCCAGTTTACGTAGAGTATGATGGTCAGAAGTTGCTTCTTCCTCAGCTTAATGTATGACCGGTATTTACCACGCTGAAAGAAATTAAAATACATGAATGTTTAATACTTGTATTGCGCTTTTTCTATAAAAAAAATCAAAGGGCAGTTAAGATAATAAATTCTTACCATTGCAAGTTGAATATCTTGAATTATTTTATTTGAAACTTAGGCTTACTGTAATAAAGCACACGAAGAGAGCCAAGCATTGTTACGTAAATACTACAATGTATACAACGTTTAGATTGTCCAAAACCTTAGCACTAGTATGTATGAAGCAGATAAACTGGTTAATAAATTACAGCAATGATGCTTTCCCGATAGGCCCAAGACCAACAGCGATTTAATTATAATCTTTCTTTCAAAATTGAAATTTTACTTTCCATCAAGTAATTATTTCATTAACTTTTATGCTTAAGTTGTCATACATCCAAGGTGTTTGTATTTGCCACTTCACATTTAGAATTGTTGTCTTGGTCTAACAACTTCTTGAAGCACAAAACCTTCTTGTATTCTCGACGAAATGTCTGATTAAGTGCTCCATATATAATGGGGTTCAGAGAGGAGCTTGTAATCCCAAAAAATGTGTACATGACATAGACCCCGCGCGAAAGGGAAAAATGGCCAACACCCTTTTCAACAAAGTCGACAACAAGAGCAGGCGTCCAACAAATCAGATATGCAAGTACAGTGACAAATAAAGTTCGTGTCAGTCTTATCTCCTCTGATGATATGTGACGTGTATTGTCATCTGTAGTGGCAAATGCCACCGGCATATTTTTAACACGTCCTGCGTTCAATTTCAGATGTCTGAAAACATTAAAATAACAAAATGAGAGAATGACAAGAGAAATACAGATGCAGATGTAAATAACATCGGTTGTAAAGGATGATTAACCCGCGTGAAAGCAAAAGAACTTTCCCGGATGGAAGATGTATTTTCTACCACTGGCAAGATAAGGGACTGCGGCCATTAACCGTGCGCGTGGCATGGTGAATAAACTTCGATGTTTCATTGGACGCGGAAATAACGCGGAAATATCGATCTATAGACATAAGGGCCATGGTCTGCAGCGAGGCAGCCACTGATGCTAAGACAACAAAGCCTTGAAGCTGACATGCAATGAAGCCACAAGTCCAGCGACCTGCTATTAGGGTTATCAAAGATGGCGGAACAACAATAGGACACATGGCAATATCTGACAGGGCGAGTGAAGCAACAAAGAGCCCTGATACATTACGTAGTCTCGGAGTTTTGTAAACGATGTAAAGAGCGAGAAGATTTCCTTTAAATCCAGCAGCAGCGATGAAACCGTATATCAGGGATTCCAGAACAACTTGAAGAGTTGTTCGAGAATGTAACGATTCCCCCAGAAGAAGGGCGTCTTTTTCCGAGGTAGTCATATTGACTTGATCTAAAAATGACAACAAAAATAAAGCATTTTTAGTTCTCCGTTTCTTCTCCTGTCGTACTTTTTTAAATAAGGCTACCTCAATAACGCCAACATATTTTTCATTACCTTTCGTGAAAAGCTGTAAGGCGGCGGTGGGAACCTCTTTGGAGAGGGAAGCTCTTTATAGGATATTGCCTTTTTTTTTTTTTGTTATTATTGTTTTTTAATTAATCTAGTTATATGCATAAGCAATTAATGGCCCGCCTAGATTAGCACTTGCCATCCGAGGGCCAAGTAACATGTAATTTTAAAATGAAGGCAAATAAAGATTTTTATTGTCGTTGTTGATTTCTAATATCGACACATTTATTCGAAACTGGGCACGCGTGACAACCACGACAAGTATAAGCACAATATAATTAATTATCGCGCGTGTAAATGAAAATGACAGGACAGCTCAGCACCAGCTATTACGTTCATGCAAAATAAATGGTAGTCTTGTAAATGATAATTTGTCATTGTTGACTCGTTGGAGGGCAACTCACAGGAAAAATGAAAACCAGTAAAGATGGAAACATTATGACTCAGCTGTCACACCTTCTTGTTTTGTTTGCAAGTCATACATTAGATATTGGCATTATTTATGCACGTTCATGGTCTAATCCAAGCAAATCCCCCCAAAACCCAACTGAAATTAGTGCTTGATACCGCCACGACGTTTTCCTTGACAAAAACATCGAGAGAATTTGCAGCAAGTAGTTGTTCAAGTTGTGCATCTCAACTTGCGAATGATTCAAGTTATCATTCAAAGAACAGCTGAAAAATTGTATTTATCAATGTTTTATTATTGAGGCTGCCATGTAGCTTGAAAACACTGCATATCTGAAAATCCTTTCGGTGACACATCGTGTTAATGTTCTCCATGTTCGCTGCATTATAAAATTTATTTACATCATTTTGATCAGGAAAACCCTCCGCATTTAGTAATACTTTCTTTCTTGGCAACGACAGCAAAATTTGTAAAAAAAACTTGTCCCTACTTACAGCCGACCAAAGACCTGATAAAATCAAACAGGTCTGGATGTGTTATATTTTCTGCTGATGGACTGTCATGCCGAAACTGAACTACTAAAGAAGTCTAACTTTAAAAATACAATTTGCATAAAGGCATACATCTCGTGACGAAAAATAGAGGATACATGAGACAAAAACTATAATCATACTCAGAATTCACTCCTGTGTTCAGTAGTGCGGGCCAGTCGGCGCCTGCTATACTGATGAATTTCTTTGGATCCTCCTTTCTCATTTAAACATGAGTAGCTTATCACAATCACATCCTTCCATTTGGAAAACAAACTGATTGCTTTATACTTACAATATGACATAGTCAAAAATAATGGCTTGGATGTCAACTCAGATCAGTCGAATCACAGAAGGTTTGCGGGATAAAACGGTTTATAACTCAGGACGACGAAATAATGTTATAAACGATAGCTCTAAATCCCACTACAGGCGTAATGAGTAGAATCCCACCCACTGATCCAGTGTCTGATATAACAACCAAATTGATTGGTCACTGAGTTGGGCGATTACGCAACAAATATAAACGAGGAAACCAGGTGGATGATCATATATGGACATGTTAACTGGGTCGAATGATTTTTTGAATCCAGGGGATGAATGAAGTAGAGCAAAAATGGCGTATATAGTTAGCACCACATCACTGCTCCTTCGGTAAAATGCATCTGTATCTTGAATAACACAGCAAATTGTACGCAAAACTCCACTGAGTTTTGCTTACTACTGATGCAGCTTATAATTAACCAAATTTTAAAAAGGGGAGGAAGCTTTCCATTACAACTTCAACGTGAGAAAAAGCTGGAGCAATCCACGCACAAGTCAAGGAAAATCAGAAAAAGAGCAGCTACTGTATAGGGTTATTTAGGGTTAGGGTTATCCAGGTCAGTAGAAAAAGCTGACTTCTTCCGTTATACCTAAAACAACAACAACATTAACAACAATGGCTCTTTATTCATATGGTATACAATACTGATCCATGAAGAGAAGTTCCGACGAATTTGGTTGCACAGGCTAAATTGAACTTCTCGCATTGCTAGGTTTTCGAGTTTTACATCTAGCTTACTTGCCCATACAACAGCAACTGACACGTATTGTCGGTTCAACTGATTTGAAGATCTAAGGCCCAGCGGTTCAGACGCCGAACTTTTCATGAGCCGAACTTAACTCGAATTTGGACCGACCGAAATTATCAAAAGTACGCCTGTTGATTCAGACGTCGAGCTTAAGGGGCTATTCACATGATTCTAGAATGACTTCCATTCCAGAATGAGTTTCGTTCCAGAATGAAGTTCTTTTCGTATTGCATTCACATGACACAATCGATGAGCCCCAGGTTTTCTGGCCAGATCAGAAAACAAAGATGGCGTAAGTTCTTGAAAACGATATGCATGCGCCATCCGCTCTAGACTACACGGTTTGCGATTTTCATTTCAGAACGAAGTTTGTTTTCACTTTACATGATACCAGAATGAAAATTCATACCAGAACGAGAATTTCATTCAGATTGAAAACCGGAATGAACTCATTTCAGAATGACTTGTAAGGAAATGAAATTTCGATTCGGTATCATGTAAACAGATACAGAGAAATATATGGGGATGGAATGAAATCGTTCCAGAATGAAAGTCACTCCGGTATAACATGAACAGCTCCTAAGTCGCCGAACTTAAATTTAGTTTGAACCAAAACAAGTCGAAATGTCAGCGGTTTTCAGGCAAAGTGTGCTTAATTCAACGTATTAGGTTCGGCACATGAAAAGTTCGACGTCTGAATCAAAGTAGTTTCAAAGCCGAAATTGCCGGGTGAGCTATACGGGAAGAATGGTTGAACAGTTCCAAATATTAAACCATATTCGTATTCTCGGTATTGGACTGGCACTAGCTTGCAAGTGAGGCTAATGCGGGGAGTCTTTTCAAATGCGAATGATTCCCCTGCATGAGCCTCCATTGCAAGCTAGTTCCAGTCCAATACCGAGAATACGAAAATGGCCCAATAAATAGCCATATTCAGACGCGAACCTCTCATGTACTTAATTCAACGTATTAAGTTCGGCGTCTGAACTGGGCCTAAGGCCGCGTACATGACACATAAGTAAAAGTGAAATTAAGCTCTTGTGGTGTTGTAGACATCATTATTATTGTAAAATGCTAAACTTTAAAAATGAAAATGTGCAATTACGTTAGAGAGGTAGTTCACACGCTTGACAAAGTAAACCAACTTGCTGGAAGCTGACCAGCCGGCTATCCAACTTGCTAAACCATAAAAATACGAAATTTTGGAATTAAAACTAGAGTAATAAATTATAATTATCAGTTGCAGGTGTATTTTACTGTCAAGGTATTACATGCAATTGCAGGTATCTTCAAACGCAATTGGGTGTTGAATAATTGTTTCACTTACTAAAGGAATAATTATCATGGGTTAAATATTGATTACTGAAGATAACTTGCTCTTATAGGCTGGATTAAACTTAAAATTACACTTTACTACCAACTAGACTTGAATATTTCGTGGTATGGCTTCAATCAAAACTAGTAGAAGTTGCTATTTCCCTGTAGTTACTTATCTTTCTGTCTTTTTCTATCTTGAATTATTTCTAGTTGTTTTTATTTGGCGATCGGTATTGAAACCATACCAGCTGATATCGCTTACACCTTTAAGAAAGTGTTGCACATTACCACTTGTGTAAATTATTCTTTTACTGCGGCATATCTCAAACGCCAGTCTTTTAACTGAACACGTTTCCGAGCAAATGTCTGATCTGAAACTTGTGAAATAACTTCGTATTCATTTCGGCCGGAAAAAAGGCATAACTAGGAAGTCTTCCTTTATTCTTCGATGTTACCTTATTCAGTCACTGTTGTAGTTGTTGCTTTAAGACACTGCATAAGAATCTTAAGTTTAAATGTTCTGTACAATGCTGTTACCTACATTTAATTTAATTCTGCAAAAATGATCTTTGTAATTTTTATATTGCACTCAAACTTTAAGATGAAAAAAGATTTCGGCTTACACCCGCACTCCTACTTCTACTAATGGCCAACTACGCAAGCCCTTATGTAAGTCGTAATCATTAGAATCGTGTAAGTTAGCACGGCAGGTAATTGACAATTGTTGTAAGTCCAACACTAGATCATTAAATCGTTGGAGTAGCGAGCTAATTCCCCACAAGAGCTGCTTCAACAAGCTGGCTGTTAACTGTTAGGGTAACCAAGCAATTCTCCATCTGCTTGTCTCATCCAATGTTGAGGAGTACAAGGAGTGTGGGAGCATACGCAAGGGTGATGATGGCGCCAGGTTAGAGGTCCGGGATAGAGATGTGGAGTGTGGTACCTTTCGAAGCTGGTTAAGCTGGTTATGTTGCAAACGAGTGAGATAGGCTTTTGGTGCTGACAGAGGTACAGAAAACTAGGTTGATTCACAGTGAAACAAGAGAGATGCTGGATGAAAGTAGACCATGGCTTTTGAGAGCCTCGTGAGAATATCATTCAGTCACGCCAAACCATTATCTCAGATATAGTTTTGTTTTCCAACAATGCGTTTTATTGCCATGTTTATCCCCGCACTTTGCGTGTTATTTCTTGTTAATCTACGATGGCCAAAGAAAAAGAGTATTTACGATTCAGTTACACTAAGGTTAATGTGTCGAAAACATAATGAAGAGGGGTGCTCAGCTGATGATAGACGCCCTGGGGGTGCGCTTCTTCCGTACGTTCTTTTTGCTTCTCTGTTAATTTATGTCCCCAATCAGTTTTCATCCTGGTTTGATAACTTAGTCTTGAAGCAGAATATCCTCTTGTATTCTCGACGAAATGTTCTATTGAGGACTCCATATATAATGGGGTTCAGAGACGAGCTTGTTAGACCAATGTTAGTGTAGAAGAAATAGACTCCACGAGAAAGGGACCAATCACCAACACCCATTTCTACAAAATCAATCATGACAACAGGCGTCCAACAAATCAGATATCCAAGCACAGTGACAAATAAAGTTCGTGTCAGTCTTATCTC